TGTGTCTGCGCAGGGTTGTGGCTGGCTTGCCTTGAGACATATCCCACAAGATAACAGTTTCATCTGCAGAACCGCTAGCCAACACGTTCCTAAGAAAGAGGGGACTGTGTTTCAGGAAAGACCCACTGATGTACAGATACGTACAGTTATACCACATGCATCTAATATAAACAAAGTATATGCACATCTCTCAGCCTCAAGTAAAGGGATTCAAGTATCTCTGAGACTTGTTTACAAGTGGAAGGAAGAGTGGATCGTGTGATTGAAAGATGAACTGATGCAGCATGTTTAAGTCTGTTGTGGTGAAGAGAGACCAAAGTGGGAAGGCAAAGCTGTCAGCTTACTGGTTGACTTGCTTTCCTACCTTCACCTATGATAAGAAGCAGGGTGTAGAGACTGAAATAATAAAAGCTCAGATAAAAGCTGAGGAAATGAGCTTCATTTACAGGAAATCTGGGCTCTCCATTAGAAATGGGTCAATTTTCCGAGCGTAAACAGAGGCCTGTTCATCTCTGTTTAGACTCCTTGCACCGCAACCCACATGAGAATAGGTGGTAGAAAATGGATGAATGCATATTAATGCAATCTGATACTGACTTGGCCAGCTGGTTCCAGGATAAATCCAGCACTGCATCTGTGTGCCCCTCAACAGGTTCTGCTGCTGCCCCCTGTTATTTTTAGAAGAACAGACAGAAACCGTTAATTACCAACTCAGTCTCAGCCTATATTAAACCCTTCAGAGCTTACTAAATGGACTGGTACTAATATAGTGCTTTCTACTAGAGCTGGGTATCTATTTGATTTCTATAACTGAATCGATTCAATTTTGACTCAAACAGTCAGAAATATTATAATTATGATCATTTATCAGTACATATTCACATTTTTTATATGTACAAAAACAAATCTGTCACTTGTGAGACTTCATTAGAGGTGCCAGCATCACAGCAGATGCCTTTGTGTCAAAGTAACTGAGGATAAAACACAGAAAAACATGAAGATTTTCCTGTCCTGACTTTTTATAGCAGATAACCGCCTTAAAAATATTCTGCAGTAGATCAAAAACTGAAGAAAACCACAAATCAACATATGAATATTATCTGATACTGCTAAAGTGAAGCAGAGCAAGGTTACAGCGGCCGACAGAACTGTACACAACGGTAGACTGGTGCGTAATGAGCAAATGAATAATGCAGAATATGGAGACTTTTGACGGTAAACTGGTCTCTGAGTACACTGAGAGAGAGGGCTGTGCAGGAAGTGTGATTTTTATCTTGGTGGAAGCAAAACAGTGAAAGTAAGAGGGAATTCATGACAATGTTTTTCAAACGTGAAGCGTAGTTTTGATCTTCTTTTGTTGCTGGTTCAGTAAATTTTGGTCAGAGAGTGACGAAACCTGCAGCTTTCAAATCTGTAAGACGTCAGCTTTCACCTGATGTCGCGTCTATGTACGTGCTGGCAGGTGAACGAGGGGATCCGCACACATTGTTTACATCTTTTTACCTGCTCTCATTTCCTTATTTAGTTGTTTGGCAGTTGTTGAAATAGTTTTGTGAGTTTTAACCTGAGATTCTGATATTTCTGGTAAAATACATTTACATTTAAAAATCAATTCAGGATTTAATGAAAGCGATAGAAATTCACACACTCTCACTCTGATGGGCATCTGAGGGTCCAATTTCTTGCTGAGGATAAAACCACTAATTAGGTTTTTACCTTTTTGCTCTTCTTTTTCTTCTTTGAGGCTTTTTTGCTCCCCAGAGAGAAGGCCGGCTCTAAACAGTCCACTACATCCAGATCCCACACGTCTATCTGAGGGGTCATGTTGCCCACAGCTGCATAGTTAGCTGCAGGGTAACACATACACAAACAGGAGACAGTGTTTGCTAAAAGGTCCTATACAACGAAACAAGAGACTTTATCTACATTGCATTTATCATTGATGTTTTCTTACATGTTCCTTCTGCAGGATTTGGGTCAAAATTTAGCCACTCCACACACAGTGGATAGGCTGGCAGCAGAATATCGTGATGAACATAAAGGGAGTCCTCCTCTGAGTTGTAAACTGCAAAGTAACACATTTAGCTTATTTTAAGCCACAGCAGCAGTATCCAATGAACAAAATTTCCTTCTATTTGCTGAAGACAATCCTCTGTTATCTGTCCATTAAGTCAGTAAATGAAGGCATTTACCAAAGATTTCCAAATTGCAGCAATCCTTCTCTGCTTTGCCTGCCAGGATCAGGTTGTCAGTGGGTTTGATTTGAAAGTCCTCACGCTCATACTGGTCCTAGGAAGGAAGTTATCCAAAATAATTAACACAAATTTCTTGCACTGGAAAACAAATGAGGGGTTTTAAAGTTTATAGCAGCTCCTCAGGCACAACACAGAATGCATGCACTTATTTTTGGAGGCCACTCACTGTGTCTTTGATGGTGATGTAAGGATCCTCCTCATTAGAGCTGAACACTGTGAGTCCAGCCAGGCTGTCACCAAGATTAGCGGTCACTAAAACAGAGGCAGAGCACCAGAAGATATGGGATGAAGCGGCAAAACTACTCAAATAACCAAAGAGCACCTTGCCCCTTCCTCACCTGCGTCTTCTTCATCATATTTATCCAGGCCATACTCTGCAAGCTCATCCCCCTCCTCCTTTCTTTCTTCACTCTCATCCTGTGGCACTTCAGCAGTATCACTCTCTTCAGCAGGTACACCCTCAGCATCTTCTTCTTCGTCCTCAGCTGCCAGTTCCCTGGGGGCATTCAAAGAAGTAAACAAAAAGTACATGACAGCAGGCACAGTGTGATGGGATACACGGGAGCAGTGAGCCTTTAACATACCCCAATTCTTCTTTCGCTTCAGTGATGATTCGCTGGAGCTCCTCCTGGCTCAACTCAACCTAGAGTTAAATTTTAAAAGTGGCTTTATTATTTTAAAATATATATGCCATTTACTCGAGGTTCAATACGTGTAAAAGTTTGGGCACTACCATGTTGACAGATTAGCCGCCGGTCGGCTAACATGCTAATGTTACTTACTTTATCCGGGGTTTCCTTGGCAACGCCTCGTTTTACCCACCCGATACAAGTAATCTGGGAGCTCATTGCGGACAAACTGTGCAGTTTATGTACTCAAAACTTTATAAACTACAAACTAAAAGACTATTTAACCTCAGGCACGCACACTGGGGGCGTACATGTGAGTTTCACTGGGTCCTGCGACGCGTCTTGATGGCGTTTGAGGAGCGTTGAAAAATCTGCCTGATCAAAAATGTAGCAGAGAAACTTGACTTCTGAACTGGGATTTCTAAGAGGAATCCCTCAAAAGCAGAATGTCAAAGTAATCCCACTTTGAAGAAGTTTAATTATACATGTAACGCCTGAGATTTATATAACAAAAATAGTGTAATTTCAACAGTATGTTTCAGTTTTACTATTTGTTGAAGAAATTCTGCTGTAGTACAAGAAAGAAATCTGTCAGCACGACTTAAATAGCAAGAAATAAATAAGCTGTAAATAAGAGTTCTCTTAAAAAATCCCACAAAAACTCTGGACCCATTGCTAACACAATTTCCATAGCAGGTAGTGAAAAAGGGAATTTTTCTGTCATTTGTTTATCAGTTACTTACTTTGGTGTAATACCAATGGCCACGTGGGAGCTATTTATCAGTAGGGAAAACTGTAAAACTTAAATGAAAAAGTAGTAAAAATTCTTAACATTTTCCAAAGCTGTCTAGTAGGCTGGATTGTCTTTGCAGGCCAGGTCAAGCCCCCCAGCCTTATGTTTGACATCCCTGCTGGTTTTAGAGTTTATTTGGTCAGGTGACCATTAAAATTAAGGATAATTTAGACAGTGCTGTGAGGCTTTCTAAGGTAGCTGCTTCTGCTAAGTATCACAGAAGTTTTTGCTGAGTCTTTGATTTTTGCCTTTCTGTTGTGATTTAAAGGTGCACCCCCTCATCTCAGTATAATGGCCGTGTTTAATTTTACTAATGTGAGCACTACACTTGTATTCATATCAGAGTTGAGGGCTAAATGAAATGTATGACATAAGACACGAAATATGCTTTTTATAGATATATATAAAAAACAATTTAATGACCGTATAAAACAACAAGACAATAAAGATATTGATATATGATACTGTTACTGGTGATTATACTTACGTTCAGGACAAAGTGGATTAAAAGAGGTACTTTCATGACTGACACGGGATAACATAAAAAGGCCTGAACCATCATTTCAGAATAAAAAATGAAGTGCAGTGGTCATACACAAGACTTATATTCACCAAAGTTTTTTCATAGGATATATTATGTTTTCCCCACTTCAACATATTTTTTATATACAAAACTTGTTGATTATTCTCCTTACTAGAACCCCCACCTCACAAAATAAACACATGTAAAGTTTAAAGGGGACAATCTCCTGCACATTTATGCCGTGCAACATTGTGAGCTCTTTAACAGAGGTGACAAAAGCATTATACCAACACTGCACATCTGCATTTTGCAATATTGGTGATTATTAAATGTGTGCGAAAGCTGTACACACCCATGTGGAGGAAGGTGGACAGAGTGAGATGCTAAAGTGAGAACTGCTCTAGTCTGATATACCCAAAACAAGCAAAAAGAATAGCATAACTAAAAAAAATGCTCAAGATTAATGTATCCTTTGGTATGACTTGAAAGGTCATCTCTGTAACAGCCAAGAAAAATATGTGAAAGAGCTGAAAGAAGGAAAAAAAAACTAAACGATTCACAGTTGAAAGCACTGATTTGACGTCCTTACCTGCCTTTTCCCCCCTTTTGAATAAATCCGGTTGCAAAAGTCAATGCATAAAACATACAGCATGGCAATTAATTTAAAATTAAAAAAAAAATCACCAATGTGCTAAATGTTACATTTTTCTTGATTTTAGTATTTGTGTTTTGGTCTTTAACGTCAAGACGGATTTGTGGTTTTTGTAATTTAAAAAAAAAAAGTTACAATTCACATTTCTTGAGCCAAAAGTTCATATTTGGCATTCTGCTGCAGCCTTTTCCACCTGTGCTGTTATCTTTATATTTAAAGGGACTGCTAAATTTATTTCACCAGAAAAACAAGACTCTTAAAGTGCGTTTTCACCACCAAACACATCAAGGCAGTCCAGGGCAAGAAAATAGTGGTTAGGGAAGACTACACATCAGTGGTTTTTCTGGTTTATCCGTTCGCCGTCCTGCAGTTCCTCAAGGATGGTGTTTCCTGTCAGGCAGTTCATGCTTTATTAACTTGGTAATCATAATATTATTGTAGGGTCTACATTACAAGATAAAGCCCCTTGAGGTGACTGTTGTTGTGATTTGGTGCTGTATAAATAAAACTGAATTGAATACAGAGAAAAAGAACACTCTTCTTGTGACACACTTAAAAGGTTCTGCTTTCGTGTCCCATCCGTTTTCATCCACCTCCAAGTCCTACTTTTGTAAATGCTCAGCTTTCAGTTTCAGTTTCAGTTGCCTTCAAACGTTTGGACACCAGCTTCAGGTTGGTCTCGTGGAGGATCACCTGGGTCAGGTATTTTTCCCGTTTGATTTGTTCTTTAACAGCATACGGGACGTCGGGGATTATGTAGGCCAGATGAACTTGGTAAAATAAACAATGTGCTGCGAACACACACACACACAAAAAAAGAAGTGAACACTTCCATTGGCATGTTCTTAAATTATCCTTTTCTGACGTGATCGGTTTCTATTTATTTAGTTTCTACTCACCTCCACAACAATTATAAAAGCCATTTTGGCAGCGATCACATGTGCCAGTAGAACATGTTGTATTCGTACTGTCTTTGGTGCCCGGGGGGAAACCGATAATCTCGATACCTGTAAGAGAAAAGTTTTCAGTAGTTTTCTTCAAACCCGCACTGATTTGCCATACATTTGTTTCTGTATTTCTCAGCTTTAATCTTTTTTTTATGACTGCAGAATATAATTTGTCTGTGCTTGATTATATGAGTATAAGTCAGGCCACAGCTGCTCTTCACCCTTCTCCACTCTTTGGTTCGAGCTCAACAGTTTTTCAGTCGTTTCTGGAATGTTTTGAAGCTCATTTGTGTTCACACGCTACTAAAGCCCATCTCGTCAACCTCCAGCATTACTCGGTCCATTCCTCGACTCTGATCTGGACTCTGTCGTTGCCCTGCTGAAACCAAGCCCTGCCCCCATGCCTAATACCAAAATAGCTTTGGTCTGCATTCCTCTCTTGTCCTTAGTCTGTACTCCCTCCCTCAGCTTAGTCATTCTCCTTGCATTTTTCAAGGCTACAGATAAAACTTCTTTTCAGTAAATCTTATAACTGTGATTAAATCAGGTTGTCTTGCACATACTTGCAGGGACTGTTTGCTATTTACTTGCACTTAAACAAACACATATGCGTGTATAGGTTTCTGCATGTTCATGCATATATGATCCAACTAAGGTTAAATAAAAACTCACAGTCAACTCACTTAATTGGAACCTTTTTTTCCCCAAGTTACATACATTCAAATACGCTCACTGGCCACTTCATTAAGTACATATTTTTCAACTCCTAATTAAGGTAAATATCTTATCAGCCAATAACCTGGCAGTAACTTACTGTATTTAGGCATATACACAATATCAAAACACCCTGCTGAAGTTCAAAGTGAACATCAGGATGGAGAAGAAAGGTAATTTAAGTGGCTTTGAGTGTAATAAGGTTTTTGGTGCCCAATGGGATGATCAGAAACTGCTGATCTACTGGGATTTCCCCACACATCCATTTCTAGCTAGTTTAGAAGATGGTGTGAAGAAAATAAAATATCCAGTGAGCTGGAGGTCTCTGGGGAAAAAACACCTTTGATGTCAGAGGTGACGAGTCAGACTGCTTTAGAGTGCACAAACTCACGAGACTGGAAAAACATTTCCTGGTCTGATGAGTCTCCATTTGGAGGGTACGATTAGAACTGAGCATAAACAACATGAAGGTATTGCTCCATCCTGCCTTTAAATCAGTTTAGGGTGCTGGTGGTGTAATGATGTGGGAAATATCTTTTTGGGACACTGAGCATCATTTAAATGTTACATCTTACCCAAATATTGTTGCTGTGGTCTTTTCTCATCATAACTAACCATGTCACAAAGCTCAAGCAATCTCAAGCCTAAAAATGACAATAAATTCACTGTACTTAAATGGCCTCCACAGTTACCAGATCTAAATCCTATAATGCACCTTCATAGTGGAGTTGATCAAATCTGCTGTGTGATATTCTTATGTCCAGATGGACTAACAAACAAAAAGTTTAAGCCCTTGTCCTTCCAGTCCACCTCGCACTATCTAGAAAGTGTGGAAGCTAATTTTAAATGAAAATGATGATTCAGTCTTTGTACCTGCAAGTGGTTAGGTTGGGAGGCGTGTAGATATATTCATCATCAACTGGGTGAAAATCGTTGGTACTGAATACCGACAGCGAGCTGTTGATGTAGCCCTTCATGGTGTTTTCAGTATTATTGCCGTAGGGGTACACTGAGAAAGACCAGTAGTAGACCAGCCGTGGGATCATGTCCGACGTGAAAGCAATGATCATGGCCTGTTGAAACAGACAAACATCAGGGCACAAAGTTAATGCAGAAAAAGCAGAAAACTGGTTGTAAAAGTTAAAATGTGAGACTTTTCTTTTTGCACAACATTTTTCTTGTTTTTTTGGCAAACATATAGTCATTTTGGGCTGCGGATAATAACTGTGGTACAGTTATAGTAGTTAGCTAAACTGAAGGGCTGAGATTGTAATCGCCTGTAAAATGAGTTAAAAAAAATAGCGTCTGGGTGTAATTATCAGCTTACATTTGTTACCACAGCCAGGATAGTGATGCCTTGAAGAATGGGCTGCCAGGCTCCTATGTGCTGTGCCTTCTCTGGCACATCACGGCGAAACTGAGTGGTGATTTTCCAAGCATCAACCCGAATTTCTATTATATTGTTGAGCAGAGCCAGGGCCGGAGCCAGAGGGAAGGAGGCCACAAACAGGGTCACAAAGCCAAATTGGATGGCTGTAAGGAACAAGAGGTTTCCCAGTGCACCAGGTATTAATAAAATAATCGATTATTCTGTATATTCAGGTTCTGTTATCAACAACAGCAGCTGCAAATATAACAGACAAAGTGCCAATAATGTATTGCCATCTCACCCATCTCAAGGTATTCGTAGAACAGTCCTAGTTTTGAGCTGGGTTGGAGCTGGTAGTCCTGCTCCCAGCGAGGAATCACTTTCTCCGATGTCACATGGACACAGTGGCGATAAATTAAATTCTTCAACCACCTTGAAAGGATGGAAGAGATGGCGTAAAGTAACAGTAAGTAAGTATCGTTGCCTATTTATCTAGTCGATTTGAACACTGTTGTAAGCGACATATCGTGTTTATTGAGCTAAATCTTTCTGTGAAGTCACGACCTTTGAAAAGAGACATCCCTTTGACTAAATTGAAAGAGATGCTCATGCCAATTAGCAATTTTCTGTTCATTAGAGGTTTGGCAGCTGTCCAAATGGTTGACTTAGTTCAAGCTTAAAATACGTAACGTAACAGATAAAAATGTAGTTGACATATAGACCACTTCAGCTCAAATGGACTGGATTTAATTGAAAAGTTCGTAGAATTGTTGAGGAAAAAGTGGGTCCATTCACTTTTCAAGCAAATGTATGTATACAGTAAAAGGACAGCTTTTTAAAAGATGGCTAGTTAGCGTTCAACCTCATCTCAACAAAAACAGGTCCTAGATTCCGAGTCCTTACGGTATCAAGACCTCCTGGATGTTGTTCCAGATGGCTTTTCCACCCATGATGATTGCCAGCTGAGTCGTCAGCTCAATCAAACAACCACCCGGATCACACTGCAAATCGAAGACACACATTGAGAGCCATGGATATCTAGCTATTTACTTGGCTATGTAAACACTTTATGGACTAATAGTACCTCCTCATTTCTGTATTTTCCCAAAAGATAAACAGGCTTTCCTGGATAGCCAACTGCTTTCCCCTTTGCAAAGGCGATGTAGAAACATGAGGAGTAATAGTTGACAAATTGAAAGAGGAACATCTTCAGAGTCAAGCTGTTCTCATAGTCCGTCTTGGTTCGTGGAAGTTCTGTTATTGTGTCGGATATGAAAAGACTGGATTAGGTTATTTTCCATTGAGGAAAGACAGTACAGTTGGATGTTTAACTCACCGAAGTCTGTGATCCAGATGGCGACCCGCTCATATAGAATATTGAGGATCATGATTACAACAAAGCTAATCAGTGATGCTGTGACAGAAGTGGCCATCTGAGGTGTCACATACTCCTTTATTGGCTCAGCAATTGTCAAGTTTGTATTCCTCAGTTCACGAGAAAAAGTAAAGAAGACAGCCAGGCGGTATACAGTGATGGCCACAACAGATGCCAGGATCAACATTATCTAAAGGACAAAATCAGTAAAATAAATAAATAAATAAATAAATAAATAAATAAATAAATAAATAAATAAATAAATAAAATAAAATAATTACAAATTCTTTCTGACAGTCAAGAGATGTGGAGAAAGACAGCTGGAATAACAGGATGCTTGAAAACATGTGGAGTCAAAGAGGAAACTGTTCCATGTACCCTAACTACTTTTATAGATCAATACTTCCTGCTCAATATTACATTGGTTAAAATGGACATTTTATTTTAAAGCAAAATTTGGTTTTTTTGTGAACTGAAACCATATTATATAAATAATAGTATATTCATTATTATCAGGATGTCCTAAAAACTCGCTGAAAAGCCTTCAGCTAATCCAAAATGCTGCAGCAAGAGTCCTGACAGGGACTAGAAAGAGAGAGCATATTTCTCCTGTTTTGGCTTCCCTTCATTGGCTTCCTGTTAAATCCAGAATTGAATTCAAAATCCTGCTCCTCACATACAAGGTCTTAAATAATCAGGCCCCATCTTATCTTAATGACCTTGTAGTACCATATCACCCTATTAGAGCACTTCGCTCTCGCACTGCAGGCTTACTTGTTGTTCCTAGAGTATTTAAAAGTAGAATGGGAGGGAGAGCCTTCAGTTTTCAGGCCCCTCTTCTGTGGAACCAGCTTCTAGTTTGGATTCGGGAGACAGACACTATCTCTACTTTAAGATTAGGCTTAAAACTTTCCTTTTTGCTAAAGCATATAGTTAGGGCTGGACCAGGTGACCCTGAATCCTCCCTTAGTTATGCTCCAATAGACGTAGGCTGCCGGGGATTCCCATGATGCATTGAGTTTTTCCTTTCCAGTCACCTTTCTCACTCACTATGTGTTAATAGACCTCTCTGCATTGAATCATATCTGTTATTAATCTCTGTCTCTCTTCCACAGCATGTCTTTTATCCTGTTTTCCTTCTCTCACCCCAACCGGTCGCAGCAGATGGCCCCGCCCCTCCCTGAGCCTGGTTCTGCCGGAGGTTTCTTCCTGTTAAAAGGGAGTTTTTCCTTCCCACTGTCGCCAAAGTGCTTGCTCATAGGGGGTCATATGATTGTTGGGTTTTTCTCTGTATCTATGAAGCGCCTTGAGGCGACTTTGTTGTGATTTGCCGCTATATAAATAAAATTGAATTGAATTGAATATCAGAACAAAATTAATTGGCTTGCAGAACAAACTTTCACTACAATAATTAATTTTTTTCTTTGTGACTTTATTAGTGTCTCACAGCACTGTGGAAGAATTTTGGCCTGCTCTTCTTTACAACATTGCTTCATTTCATTGAGATATGTGGACATTTGCTTGTTTACAGTTCTGTTCAACTCCCACCACCGCATTTCAATGAGGTCTGGGACATTGTGACACCTTGATTCTTTGGTCCTGTGGTTGCAAAACAAGCCCAAACCATCACCCATCTACCGCCATGCTTCACAGTTGGTATGGGGTGTTTGTGTTGAGATGCTGTGTTTGGTTTTCTCCAAACAATTATCTTGTGGATAATAGCCAAATATCTCCACTGTAGTCTCATCTTTACAAAAGGGATCGTTACAGAAATCATGTGGTTTGTTCAGATACAACTTTGCAAACCTAAGCTGTGCTGCCATGTTCTTCTTAGGAAGAAGATACTTTCTCCAGGCAACCTTCCCAAACAAGCCATACTCCTTTGTCTTTTCTTTGGCTTTTACTTTTGTAGTAGTGCTCTCACTTGCTAATGAGCAGTTAATAGTGCATTTGACTAGCAGCACGTGGCTATATATTTAACCTCTTAATTCCTATAGAAACAATAAGGTTGTACATAGTTTTTCAAATACTGTTTCTTTGTTTGGCTTACTTTCTGTTAAATAAATAATAATCATTTTAAGGCCTTCTAAGGATTAGACGTTTTTCTTTCCATGCTGTTATGTAAAATAATAAAATTAAAAGAAGGGTATACCTTAAAAGGAGTTTATATATTGTTCTCACTATTCCTGTTGTGTATTTCTTCTTCTTTGTAAAAAAAAAAAAAAAAGTAGACACAAAAAAGACATTTAATTCATGACTCACCCAGAAAATGACTGTTGTCATTCCTATCGACACACGGACACATCGTCCACAGGCTGTGTATGGCACCTTTTCCTTCACCTAAATAGCAGACATAAATAAAATGAAATTATGAACCTCAGCAACAATATTTGAAGAGGTGAAACTCACTGATGCATTGTAAATGGAGAAAATCAAAACTCAAGCTGAGATTAGCTGGAGAAAAAGTATGTGGGATTTACCCCTGTAATGGGGTTTTTCCTCTCATAGATACATTTGGCTTCATATTCTGGGCGAGGTGGCTCTTCCTGTTCCAGGAACTCCACAGTGTCCCACTCGTACTCCAGCTCTGCCTGGTAGCGCTTCCAGAACTCTAGGAACAAAGTCACTGCACAAAGCGAAACAAACACAGGAAACAACAAGCCAGGCAGTTATAAGAGAAGGAAGCGCAATATAAATAGGGTGTTCTATTAATAATACCAAAGATGATGCAAAAGCAAAGATAATAACAGAAGATAAAATCTGGTAGAAACTGTATCAAACTTACCCCAGACTGACATGAAAACTGCAAACACTAACGTTCCAAAGTTATCAAATATGCAAAGATTCTAAAAAGAGAGAGAAAGAGATAAAACTTCAATGGCAGCTGCAGCTGTGTCACAAAGTAAAACAGCAGCCACACATTTCACTATGCAAATCTGGCAACAGTGCTACCTACTGTGAGGTGAGCGCTGTGCTGCAAAGTATACTGAGCAACATTAAAGACAGGAAAAGATGCATTCAAATACAATAAAACAGAACTCACTTTCGAAGTGTTACAGGTGCTGTTTAATGTCCAGTATTGGCACGTGTCACACTGTGGACACATGACTATTTTTCCCCCAATATCAGGGTCGCACACTTCTTTGCTGCAGCATTTCAAAGACACAAGACAGACCATTAAAGAGCATTTTTTTTTAAATATTTAAAATCATTAAAGAGAAATAAATTGTTTGTAGTACCTCCAGGTGCTGGTGTCCCGGGTATAGTACCCGTAGAAGAAACAGCCAATCCCAACAACAGCAGCCCAAGTGAGCATTCTCGTGTAGAAACCCAACCAGGCAAAGTAGATGCCAATCTTCTCCCCGTAGTAGTTCCTGTCAATAAAAATAATTAGAGTTATTAATAATTACTACTAATTTTTCTTGAACAAACAGAGAAGACAATTTTTTATGCACAGAAAAAAGATTTACCGTATGAGGTCCAGCGGTTGGATCTTGTAGAAGCTTTTGGGATGAGCCCATTCTTCATAGAGCAGGTATCTTTCATTGGGACACTCTGGTTCTTGGGACTTGACATTGAACCGACACTGACATGACGAGCAGTGAAGCCATTGACATAACATAGTACAGCTTGGCTAAACAAGACAATACGCAGTATGCAAAATAAAGCAGAAAATATTGTGGCTTACATCGTGGATGGGATAGGCCGCTTTGTAAACTCCACTGTCCAGCAGTTTGGTGATGCCAAACTTCTTTATGTTGCCTCGTATCTCATAGGGGGCTCGGCTCAGGATGTAATACGCCTAAGAAAAGAGAAAGAGTCAAAAAGTTATCATTCTACTATTTTATAATACATTGATTTTTTTCTTCATAGACAAAACCATCTCTGTCAATCTAAAAGGAGTTCTTGACTTTTTCAAATCAAATAAAAAACTATAAGATAATTATATAATTTCTAACAACGGATATTTGTTATTTTATTTAAATGAGTGTCTCAAGTGTTCTAGGTTTGGAATCATCACTTTGGAAAAAAAACTAATGAGGAAATTGTCCAATTGCATGCAGTTCTTTCCGTACTGCAGTTGGGGAAAAAACTGGATTCGACAGAGCACCCTGCGTCTCTGACTTCTTTGCATTTAATCATTAGTTATTGTATATCTCTGGCTCTCTTCCACAGTGTGTGTCTTTTGTCTTTTTTCCCTCCTCTAACCCCCAACCAGCAGATGACTCCTCCTGCTTGAGCCTGGAGGTTTCTTTCTGTTAAAAGGGAGTTTTTCATTCCCACTGTCGTCAAGTGCTTGCTCAAAGGAGGTCATCTGATTGTTGGGGTTTCTCTGTATTATTGTAGGGTCTTTACCTTACAATATAAAGTTCCCTGATGCAACTGCTGTTGTGATTTGGTGCAATATAAATTCAGTTTAACTAGAGCAGATCACCTTCCTCCACCTCTACTCCAACATCCTCCTCTGTCACACCAACCCTCTGCATGTCCTTCTTCTCTATGGTCTTGCTCTTTTCCTCCTGCCTCCCAGCTCCATCTTCAACTTTGAACTATCCCTCCAAATGCAGAAACCACCTTCCTCTCTAGTTTTGTCTCCAAACTGTTCAACCTAAGTTGTCTATTTGACATACTCATTTCTAATCCTGACCATTCTGGTCACTCCAATGAAAATCTGAACATCTTTAACTCTGTTACCTCCAGCTCCACCTCCTGTATTTTTGGAAGTGCCATAATCTTCAAACCATACATCATATCATCTTGTAAATCTTCCTTTTCACTCTTGCTGCTGTGCTTCTATCACAAATCACCCCTGACACTCTTCTTCACTTGCCTTGTGCACTGCCTGTTGCCTTGGATGCTTGAACCCAGGTATTTAAATCCATGTACATTTAATATCTGCACTCTTTAAACTTTAACATTTCCACCCGTCTCTTTCTCAGTCGCACATGCATTCAGTCTTGGCTCTACTGATCCCATGTATCCGGTGCATACCTTCACCTCTCCAGAGTCTCTTACGCCTGTTTCCTTACATACCACTTCAAAATAAATTGTTATGACAGCAAACCATTACTAAATCATTCACCTAGGAGCATAAAAGTTTTTGTTCTTGGTCCAAACTTGTATTTTCCAGTCCTGCTAACTTTTTCTCCACTATTTTAATGTGCGATTTGTGAAAGTATACGTAATATGTTGTACATAAGACTTAAACCACAAATTCATGGAAAAAGTTAAGTTAAGTTTTAAGATGACTATTATTTCAAATCAAGTTCCTTTAAAATGAAGGCATTTTAAGGTTGTCTGTGAACCCTGACTTTAGTGATTTTAACATGAAATTCATAAATCCATTGACATATTTATGTGTAGGGAGAGTTGCAGGCAGCCTGAACTTATGGCAGCTACATGGAACCACCTACCATCCTGCTCCTCATCGATGGAGTGAAAAAGAGATCTTTGTCCTTGATACAGAAGAGATCTTGTCGATCCTTCTCAAAGGGGGCGGTGAAGAACTCGGACTCCTTACTGATCAGTTTCTCATCGGGATAGAAGTGCTTGGTGATGCAGGAGAAAAAGCGCAACGGGGAGGGGCGGGCCGGCATGTCGTTGGGCTGTATGGGAAGCTTGATATGCAGGACCTCGGCATAGGTGCACAGCACATCCCATGGCATGTGAACTTTCAAAAACATGAGTTTTTCATCTAAAACCTGCAAACAAAGAGAGAATTCAGTTAAAGTAAGAGATACGGGGACAGAACCAGTAACCTCCAGGCAAGGACATCCACTTACAGACTGTGTGGCCTCCAACTCCATGCCCATCTTCATCAGGCTGGCCTCAAAGTATTCTCGCCGTCTCTAAAGAATAAGACAATAAAAAAATAAATATCAAATGCAAATTAATCGCTGGATACAGCAGATACTTTCATGGCCCCTTTAGTTGACTGATTTATGTATTTATTATTCAAAAAGATGTACTAAAAACTCGATATAATACTGTAATACTGCATCATGTTGCTCTCCTGGTGCAGGAACTGCGCTCTGTCTTCGGTGTATTCATTTGGTGAATAATTTGGTATCGCTAAATTGTCACATTCAGCACCTCATGGACACTTTCAAGGAACTGTTAACGAAGCAAAGCTAAAAATAGCTTTAGTCTTTGTTAGTGCTAACTTTGTTAGCAGAAAGATTACTCATTGAGAAACAGGAAATACCACAATTGCATGCGATGTATATAGACAATCATAATAATTCCATTTAACCAACAGCATGTGAAAGAACCACGCCTTCCCAGCAGTCAGAGCAGAATAAGGTTAAGCAACCTGTGTTTGACCAAAGTTATGCTCTGGAACAACAAAGTTAAGGGAGTGACTTCTAGGGACTCTCCGCTTCCTAGATTTCTTATGAATATAATGTTTCCTCAGTTCTAATAGACTTAGGAAATTTGATTTCCTGTCATGTGCTAAACAAGGGATCAAAATAGGGAAGATATCAAGATATGCTACAGATTCCAAACAGGAAAGCTCCCAGTAAGCTGCTACAGAGCTAAAGGGATGACTAGACAAATGTTAAAGGGAGACAATAAATGCAAGGAGTAATGTAGCAAGTGGAAACAAGGGAAGTAGAACTAAACATAAAGTGCAAGTGACAAGACTATCAAAAGGAAAGAGGAAGCAACTAAACACAGAGACAATGACCCTGACATCTGAACCTGCCACAGAAGGGAAAGGCTAAAAAAAACCCTCGAGACCAAACCAAACAACCTAAAGCAGAATAGTAACTGAAATCAGCATTAACGGAAACACAGAACTAAGACTCAAGATGTTCAGGAACGAGTCAATCAAGAATAAACAGTCAAACTAAGAAACAAACGTAACATTAACGAATAGAGAGGAAATCTCTAGTCCGGAAACTGAGTCCAAAGCCCAGGACTGTGATACTTCCAGTAACTTTATAGGCAAATCTTTTCCAAGGAGCTCAGTAAAACTGGCTGATCAGCTTTTACGGACATGGAGCTGGGTTGCAGCTGTCTACACCCACTGCCTGTATTTATTCACAGCTCTCATCTCAATCAAGAGGAAAACATGTGGCACTTCTTTTCTAACAACAGCATATTCATTTCCAAGCATTATATTATATACAAACCTGACTGTAAACCTGTTGTGAAAGAGGACAAACAAGCCTGGATATGCCAGTTCATCCTTCAGTCTAATACTAATAACAGAAACCAGACCAGGAAGAGTTGGTCTTCTTTCTTTCTATTTTTCCTTCTCTTCAGTTACAAACCAACTGACTTTGTTTTGTGGCGGTTTAACATTTTTGCACCACAAAATCTAAAAACATAAATTAAAAATTACTCATGGCCAAACAGATCTGTTCTGATGATGAACTTTGAGCATCTAATTGAAAAAATGATGCTCTTCATTAGCTCTCTCAAGGAATATAGCCAGGAGCACCTCACAGTCAGAATCTAATGCTTCATATCCTGGATAATTAATATTTACAGACAGAGGGGAATAATATGAAGCCACAGACTGACAGACTAATCCAAGTGCAAACAAAAACTCCATTTACAAATAAGAAACAGACTCTGCCATTTGTATGAGTAATAAATAAAACATTGAGAAAATTTTGGCTATATACATTCGCCTGCATGCACTTTGTGTATACGTTATGATGTTAGATTATTCTATTAGAAGAATGTTGTTATATAACTCATTAGGACACATAAAATGCAGTCAGATCTTAAAGTTAAAACGAAGGCATTCAGATAAAACCCATTGGGAATCGAACCAGAGAGTCACTGGTGAAAAGAATAGACGCTCAGAGATCAAATGTCAATACTAACACTCTAAATCTAACATCATAACTACTCTCCATGGATTCTGAATGCTGGCATAGCAGGCTGTTTGCAGTCCCCGAGCCTTTAACACCACTGATCACACCGGTCTTATATGACAGGTTGTTGAACTAGGTTGGCATCACTTTTCTTAAATGGTTTTGATTATATTCTGATAGCTAAAAATCATTAATAGCTAAATATTCTCACTAGAAGCGCTTTGGTCCAACTCTCCAACTATCTGCTACTCTCCTGGCCATCTACTTAAGAGCTTTAAAGGCATCTCATATGTTACTATGTTGACGATGACAACCTTAACATTACCATTAACAGTTGGATATCTTTAAATGTCCTCCATTGCAATTCTTTTTCACCCGGACAGCTTCTTGAAGGTCAGTAATCACACTGACATAACAGCTAGGCTTGCCCGCACTCACACGTCACCTCGAATCTTGCTTCCCTTCACCAGCATCCAGTGAAATTTAAAATTGATTTTATCATTTTATTAATGAGATATAAAGACCCGTATATCCAGGCTCCCACATACATACCAGAAACCACCGTGTTTTACAAAGAACTATGCAAATTAAGCTTTTTATTACTATAATGTCATCTCTCTGCTATGCACTATTTACTCCACTTCGCACCGTTTGCAGTACACCCAGTATCTTTGGATTTAATGGCATGGTGCGTTTTACTAAAATGCTCAATAAGGTTAAAAGAAAAACAAGCTTACCTTGCGTCTCTGTAACACATGCCTCTTCTCATATTCCTTCTTTTCCTCATCTTCATACGCCAGGACAAAGTCAATCCTCCTAACACCATCATTGAAGAACAGGGAGTCTGGTTTGTCATTAAACTCTACCTGAGGGGAAAAACAAGGCTCACTGGGTAAATCTACAGGATGAAACTCATACTCCTCTTCCTCCATAATGTCATACTTGTTGAACATAATCACAAGTAAATGTCCAGCTTGGAGACAGTCGCAGCAGAAACAATGTTAACGCTGACCTGGACCTGCCTATTCAACGTGTAACGTAGGTCAACAAACACTGTAACGCCCTGCTCTCCTCTCCCTCCCCCTCTCTCACCACACAGTCCGACCCACTAAGTTTTAGTAAAGCTCATAATATTATGTTAGGGGTTTAATGTTACTTCATTGTCTGTTGACTCACCTCTTGTGCTTTAATTACGTTTCCTCCTTCTTTGATAGAGTGATAAGTTGGTAAAAACTCCTCTGGGTATACTGCAAAAAAAAAAAAAAAGAAAGAAGAAGAAGATTGCATATATAAATAGGAATGCAAATGCAACAATGAACAAAGAACAGACATGCAGTTTTGGACAGAGGTTTGCATAAAGTTATCATGGGCATGAATATCAGGGAATTTGGGGCTTTTAATGATTTCTTTGGCTTGTTCTTTCTCCAGAGTGGAATGATGATACAGCATTCATCTTTAAAAACAGGAGTGTGGTGCACAAGTTTGAGTTTCTTTTGGATTTTCTCACAGAGTAAAAATTATACATACAGACTCAAATATTCAGATACTCAAATTAGAGCAGGGCAATATGGCCAAAAATATTTATCACGATATACATTTGAAAATTTGCGATAACGATATAACTGACAATATAATTGATACTAGACAAAATACTTTACAACTCCACAACTTTATTAGTGGAAAAAAAACCCATCAACGTATTTTCACTTAAACAAGCAGCTGTTTTTTATGTGCATTAAAGTTATATAAAAATGTAACAGTGCAAATTCCTTGCTGTCAGTTTAACCAAAATGCATTTCCAGTGGAAATTGGCCGACATATCCTCAGCATAACCATGTATAATATCCACAAAACTTAGAAAGAGGTTATACACACACAATACGGTAATATTATGTTGAAGCACAGTACGTATCACTCCGCGAGGCTCCTGCCTACGATAGCCGTAATGCTCCGACAATCCATCAAGCGGTGCGGCTTCGTAGCTTAGCAAAGTCGTACTAAAACATCTGACAGATTTTCGAGCGCTGTGTACCACATAAAATCGTTTCGAGGTCAGTAAACACAACCAGAATTCATACATAAGGCACACGGGATTATAAGGGGCACTGTCGATTTTAAGAAAAAATCAAAGGATGTATTTTAAGTGTGTTGTATTTTCCAAAAAACACGGTAATAACGACGGCCCGCTAGCATGCGCTACCAAAAATAGTGCTTTGTTGTGTATCTAATGGATGAAAGATAAACCAGTTCCACACCACTAAAGTTGCAGCATTTTTACAAACCAGTTCTGGTTCATCCGTTTCATTCAGTGATCCGCTTTCACTCTTCTCATTTCCCGTCACCGGCACGCTTTTTCCTCCATGTGCATATGAAAACAAAGGCACTGCGCATGCGTGTTTTACCCATATTCTATCGCGATATTTCATTTTCTTATCATTGCCCAACATTATACCAGTATTACCGTGAATGGTATGATATGGCCCAGCCCTAACTCAAATATATAAATGCGCTTCAATCTTTAATAACTTGGCAGAGGTTATGTGATTGTGATTGACTAGAACTGGTAAATGGACTGGTTGGGTGAATGATGATTCACCATTCATATAAGCACTTTTAACAGTGGTTAATTGCTTTCTGTTTAACATTCACACTCCGATGGATGCATCATTGAGCAACTTGGGGTTAGTATCTTGCCCAAGGATATTTTGCACATAGACTGAAGCGCCAACCGATTAGTGGATGACCTCCTCTACCTCCTGAGCTACAGCCACCCCAAAATGGTAGTTTCTCTTTGCTAGCACAGAAATAATTTGTTTTTGTCAGCAATCTTGGACCAATACTTAAAACAAAATTGAAGGAACTCTGAAAATCTAACTGTCACAGTCCTGGGTCAGTGACCCAGTGTTTTGAATTTAGTTTTTTTCATTTTTGTTTTCATCATGGTTCATGACTATTAGGGGTTTGGTTTCTGTTTTGTATTTCTAGATCTTTAGTTCTCCTGGCTTTGTGATTTCTAGTTCTTTGGTTTAATTCTGCCCTCGTGTTTATTCTCTTGTTCCCCTGTCGGTCGTGTCTCATGTCATTCCTGTCCCTGTACTCCGTGTTCCCTCTGTTCAGTATCAAGTCTGTGTCTCTGTGCCTGTCCTGGTCCCACGTCTCCTGTCTGGTCATCTCTGTCCTTATGTTCCCTCTGTACCGTATCAGTATTATCGTAGTGTTAAGCTTGTGTCTCTGAGTCCGTGTCTGTGCGTACATGGCGTATTTCCTGTTTTATTTTGATAGTGTGTCTCCTATGCCAGGGTATCTAGTTTTGCCTTCCCTCGTCTCATTATGTCTGATTTGTCCCAGCTGTGTTTCTTCCTGTTTCCTAATCCTCACTTCGTGCTGTGTTTTCAACCCTCATTTTCCTGTAAATTTCCTCGCTCTTAGTTCTGGTTTGTTTCCTCAGGTTTTCTAGTTTTAGGTTTCAGTGCCCAGTTTAGTGTCTAGTCCCGTATTGGTGATTTGAGTTTGTTTGGTGATGTTATTTCTATGAAGAATTTTCCCAGCAATAAACCTGCACTCTGAGTTTAACTCGCTAGTCTTGACACTAAGGAGGAAAACTGTCATTGTCACTAATTGTCACAACTTTGGAAAGACATTTCTAATTAATTGCAGATTCCAAGATCGTGCAAATGCTCCCTTCATTTCCCCAGATTTGAAGGATAGGTCGGGTGTATACTTCGTGGCCCAACCTATCCCAGAATTCATAGCGCGTCCCAGCGCGGCCCTGCTCAGTTTCCAACTAGTTAGTTTTTATATTACTCTTATTATTCTTTCTGGGTCACAAAATAAACGTTTAACATATTTTCAGGCGAGAATGTAGCTGTGTGAACTTCAAATATCTGCTCAGTTTATCAAGACACCGCATATTTTCAAAAGCGCTCCGATGTTTTCGGAGGCGTTTGTTACTCACCAGCTTGATAGCTAGCCGGGGCTCAAGGCTCACTAGAGCCGGTGAGAACACCGGACTCCCGGTGTTGTGCCAAAAAGTGATTTCCGATGTTTCCGTGTGTTTTTTATGTGTAATATTGTTACGTATGTTGCTAAATAAACTTCGGTGAACAGGTATTACAAAGGGGTTATATATAAAATTTAAAAATTACCTGTTTCTCAAGTATCTTTGTAACTGTGTTATTGTAATTACATTATAATCAATCACCTTCCTTTTGTCCACTTAAAATATCTTTACAGAACTATTTTTGCATTTGTTGCAATTACAACTGTCCTCTTGGCCAGATTACTCTTAAAAGAGACATTTTTAAAGTAAACAAGAATTTTTTTTAACTGCATAAATAAAGGATACATAAAACTCACTGCCAAAAACTGATTGCAGCTTCTACCTTGTTACAGGAATGGTAAATGGCCTGTATTTGTATAGTGCTTTACTTAGTCCCTAAGGACCCCAAAGCGCTTTACACTACATCCAGTCATCCACCCATTCACACACTGGTGATGGCAAGCTACATTGTAACCACAGCCACCCTGGGGCGCACTGACAGAGGTGAGGCTGCCAGACACTGGTGCCACCGGGCCTTCTGACCACCACCAGTAGGCAACGGGTGAAGTGTCTTGCCCAAGGACACAACGACTGAGACTGTCGGAGCCGGGGCTCGAACCGGCAACCTTCCGATTACCTTCCGAGGTGGCTGTAGCTCAGGTGGCAGAGCAGGTCAGCCACTAATCAGAAGGTCGGCGGTTCAATCCCAGGCTGCCTCCTGGCTGCATGTCAAATATCCTTGGGCAAGATACTAACCCCATGTTTGCCTACTGGTGGTGGTCAGAGGGCCCGGTGGCGCCAGTGTCCGGTAGCCTCGCCTCTGTCAGTGCGCCCCAGGGCAGCTGTGGCTACAATGTAGCTTGCCATCGCCTGTGTGTGAATGGGACTAGAAAAGCACTATACAAATGCAGGCCATTTACCATTTACAAGACAAACTGCCAACTCTTGAGCCACCAAATGTTGTTTGTTGCTCAAGATGACTTGATATAATTCATGAGGGATATATTTGACATATGTTTCACATATTATAGACCAACAAGTTTTTGGCAAATACCGGAAATCAGTTTTTGGCACAACACCAGCAAATCGTTTTCAAACCCACGGCCGTCTTTCGCTACTCAGGTTAAACATGATATATAAGTCACTTACAAAACTTAAAAATGTTATTGTTTGGCTTTTTTCAGTATATTATTTGTTCCTGATTAAATCTGTTTGGCTGAGATTAAAGTTATAGTTTTTACACAGCTGAATAAACATCAAGCAGACAATTGATTATCAGAAGTGTGAGATGCTTTACGTCCAGTGGATGCATGATCTGATTAGTCGACTAATCGCAAAAATAATCAGTGACTAGTCAACTATCAAAATAATCGTTTGTGGCAGCCCTAGTTAGGATTTTCAGGAGAACATACAAACCAAGGCTAAACACTGCTTTGAACTGGAAACTGCTGGAACACCACAGTAGAGTCTGTTTTGCATTGCCGTTGACTGAGAGGAGGTGCAAGGTCAACTGAAATTTGCACCTGCCCACATAAACCAGATTACGCCTGGCGAAAGGTTTTATGGTCTGAAGGAGAAAAGTTGTATAGCCATGACAGCAATGACAAGAGGTGTGCTTGGAAGAGTAAAGGTGAGGCTTTCAAACCCAAGAACACTGAACACGCTCTGGGGGCTGTTATGCTGCCAGCGGTACTGGTGCATTACAAAAAGTGGATGGAACAATGAAAAAGGAGGACTAGCCCCAAATTCTTTAACTTTACCTCAAATCTGTGGCTGAATTATTGAAACAATTGGGTGTTATATGTGTGTAATTTTCACCATGTGTAACCAGTTCTTGTTTATTTTAAAGCCATTAAATATGCATGCTGTAAAATCATTCCAGCCAGATAATTCACTGAAAGCCTGAAATTATCCATGTCCAGTCAAACATCCAAATGTCCATGATTAAGTGGATGCAGACTAAGTACTGCAGAAGATGCATTACTAGCAGATTATATAGATTTTATATTGTATGAACTTCTGTTGCATTTATAGCACAGAAGTTATGCTGCTATTATTTCTCTTTTAGTCTTTTATTTGCAGTTTGACCTGCATCTCATGTTTGTCCTAATACATATCTTTGTCAGCCACAACAGAGAGGATGAGTGTGTCTGTACGCCTGCTGGGGCATGCACATAAAAACAGACACGGGTGTTCAAATGTCTGTGAGGAGATTTTGATTTCATTGGAGCTCCACAAGATAAAATCATGGGAGGGCGCAGCTGTGAAGGCAATGACAGATATGGACTGAAAGCACGGTTACAACGCTGTTCTTTTACAGCGTTGTCATATGGTCATAAACCTGTTATGAAAGGGCTGATGCTCATATACAACTTTAGCAGAATAGCGCTTTATGATTTACAGTTCAGAATGGTCCTCATATATCTCTATATCCGAACTCTCTGTCACTCCAGTGTCTGAAACAGGCCATTTTGGGTCTCGTCCCTTTAAGTTATCTTTGACCAACAGGTGGGTGGGGACAGCCATGACTGAGTGAGGGGATTCCCCTTAAAGTAGAATTAAACAAACATAAAAAACAGAATAGAAGTGTGTGCCCTAAGCTTTTGACTCATAAGGACTGGATGCACATATTCTGACCTTATTTTGTGAGACTTTTGGCCATGTTTAATGTAACTATCTCTCATACTACAGCAAAAATGTGCCAGAGAATAAGGAAAAGCATGTGTGCCCTTTAAACTAAATGTGTCTAAAATATCAGTTTAGCCCATAAACTAGGTAAATTATGCTCTCTAATAGGTGTACATATATGTTTATGCATATACTACTGATTATAACAGTTCTGTATAGTTGTGTACAGTACAGTAACTTATAGTTACACTGAGTTAAGGTCCTACAGTACAAATGGTTTAGTCACCTAAGGTAAACAAAGCAAAAGGTAAGATCCCATATATTATATTAAGAAGGTATCTACTTATAGGAGCTTATTGTTGATGGAAATATGCATCAGTAGGCTGAAAGAGCAGTTATTCTTGAACGTTTTTTCTGGCATTCCCCACTTTAGAGCCCAGAAACAGCTCACATACTCCACCCAACCACTTTTTCAGATGCTGTAGAAAACAACTGAAGTTCATTTTCAATTAAATCAGTGAACTCTTGTTTGTTTTGCCTACAAAATGACTCAACTGGAGCTTCATTCCCTATTCCATTCCAGCTTTTTATTCCCCACCAGTCTACAGCATTCTTAAGGACTACTGACCCGCTTTTCTTTAACCTTTGTTTTCCACTGAGTTATAGCTAATGCTCTAGCTCTGCAGTGCTCACTGAAGCACCACAGACTGCTTTTCACTTCCTTTAACATCACACTCTCTCGCTGATTTATTGCTTGCACAAAACGTCCTACTCACCACAATTGTTCTATAAATCCCCTGATACAAAATAGAAATTCCGCTGCTCAACATACATACTTTCCCACCACAGACTACGTCAAAACAAGAAAATACATAATAAAAATAACACTGCAGCCTCTCCCATTTGCCTCATAAATCTTTTGTCCCTTATTTCAAAAAAACAGATGACCTAAAAATCAAATATGGGAAGTCTTGCAGTGTTTCCATATAAAGTGGAAAAGAAAACTAACTGGAGACAGATGTTGTTTTCATAACACAGGCCATAGTAACATGCTGAGGGAGCGTGAGGAAGAAACACTGCTCTTAAAATCAACAATTTCTCCTTTGAAAGTCTTCAAGCAGGCTCACGGTCTGACTTCTATACTGCAGTCATCCCACAAAGTGCAGTGACATAACATACAGCCCGGGTTTTAAGCAGTTCAGACAGACACACATTCATCTGAAATCGTCAGTCTCCGAACACAAAAAGCTTTTACAGAACTTCTGCAACCATAACTGATTCAGAAAGTGTGAGTCATTTGAAAAGCATGCAACTGAAATCTTTTATTTTGTCAGAAACTACTAACCCAGTCGCAGGCTACTTCCTTCCTTAGAGTACATCCGACACATCAATGTACAAAAAAGAAAAAAGAAAAAAAAAGGCACATGTAACAATGAGAGGAAAATGGATTATTCCTTAAAAGAAAAAAAAACAGCTTTTGAAGCATTGTGGTGCCTAGGTATGTGACCTTAAGGCGTACATAATAATAATTTTGAATGGTAAAAATGGTAAATGGCCTGTATTTGTATAGCGCTTTACTAGTCCCTAAGGACCCCAAAGCGCTTCACACATCCAGTCACCCACCCATTCACACACACATTCACACACTGGTGATGGCAAGCTACATTGTAGCCACAGCCACCCTGGGGCACACTGACAGAGGCGAGGCCGAAGATGGTTAAAAAAAAAGTATCTTACGAAACGGCAGGAGTTGCTTTTCTGCTCGATCTCAGGGGAGGTTTCACAACAGATAAGAATCGAGAACCAGCTCTATTGCAAGTCAGGACACAAATCTGGCTGTATATTTTCATGAAAACCAATAAATAATTATTGGTTTTCATGAAAAGTGCTTAAACCTGATTTTCTCATCTTCGTTCGATCGGTTCAGTAAAATGGGTACATCCGGTGCACCTTCAGCAACTGTGTCAAGCCTGTATTGAGATCATGCATCATGCTTACTGAAGCATAAAAAAGAAAGCTGGGTAAGAAGCCAAAGTGACTGACACCACCTCAACCACAGCCAGTGTGACCATTTTACATTTGACGTTCATTAAGACTACTTTGTTGGTGAATGCACTGACCACCACAGTCCTGTAAAATGATTGTAATGAAACGAACCCTCCATTAGACTAGAGTGCCTTTACAGTGAGATGCTCTTCATGATCTATTTTATGATCTTATCTTATGATCTATTATCTAAGACATCAGTGAACAAAGGGAGAGAGAAAAAACATGTCATCGATAGGCCTGCGTCACTTTAGATGAGACAGGTATGATATAGATTTCTTAGAAACACTGCAGCAGAATCTACTCTGGGTACAGAGATGAAGACGAGCCCAGGAGACATTCTGTTCAGCAGCGGAGTTATGGTTTCGGTTTGCAGAGTCAGGAATGTGAAAAATCCGAACAACAAAAGCTCGCTGAGAGGTGTTTCTGTGTGGTAGCAAGGGAGATCTAGGAATACCGAGAAACTATAGTCATTTGTAATCTTGGGTTCTTGGGTCCGAAGCTGTATTGTGCACCACACCTCCACTGGTGCTCAATTGTCTCTCTGCACATGCCCATTCCTGATCAATGTGTAACACTGCACACCGTCATCTATCCTTGAGCAACACTGTATTTGCGCCATACTGGGACTACATATTATAGAGTAAAAAGTAAATATCTTAACTATACCGGAGTGCAGAATACATAAGAGAAAGGGGACTTTGTTTAAAGGAGTTACAATAGTAATAATTTCTCCACTACAGAGTAGCAAAAGATGAGTTCCCGGAGATAACGTGGCCTAAGAATATCGACAGCTGTCTCGATAAGGACCCACAGCATCACGAGGATAAAACCCAGACCGAGTCCGCGCTCCGGAACAGCATGCAGACAACTGTTGCAAAAGACCATGTTCTCTCACCAACTTCCTCATCTATCATGCCCAGCTCTATATCCCCCAGATCCTCCATGTCGGACTCCATCTCGAGGATGTCGTGGTCGCTCATAGTCCTGCCGACAGCTCCAGTGTCATCACTTCCCAAACAAAAAGTAAAAAAAAAAAACCTATACACCCGGAAACCAACAAGCGTGCCGATTCTCACTTTGATTTCAAAGCACAGCCTCCGCGCATTCTTGCTTCAGTTCACAGCGTTGGTTCAGTGCGCGTAAAGTTTTCATGCAGTGACTTGTACGAGTGTGAAACGGGTGGGGCTGGAGGGGGGCGGGGGAGGAGGAGGAGGAGGAGGAGAGTGTTCAAATAAAAGTTGGTTATCTGACGCTGTGTAGCTTTCTTCTGGTTTGTACCCATCAACATTTTCATAATTAATAATTCTGCGCATGGACCTCAGCTCTCCAGGCCTTGACCAGATACTTGTTGATATAATTCACATTCAATTTAAGAGAAAATCTTCTATCAGTTACACAACTTTCTTTTAAAAAAAAAAAGTCTCCAGTGTTTTTTTCCCCCTCTAATGAAACCTTTTATTAGCAACTACAGTAAACAATGTCAGCAACTAATACAGGGACAGGGGAGTAAATATGTAATGTAATCTTTTATCATAATGCTCTGTTTCCTTTTTAAATGCTATAAACTGTTTGGAGTGACTGCATTTGGGTTTGCGGATATGATACAGCGCTGCGAAGAAGTAATTCCAGAGCATCTCAACGTGATTTAAGTCCAGATTTTGATCAGATCACTTCAAAACACTTTATTTAACCTATTTATTTAACCTATTTAACCTACATAACCCAGGTGTCTTCTGGCAAATGTGAGACAAGCCTCTGTGGTTTTATTCTTGGAACTCTTCCATGGATGCCATTCCTTCCCAGCCTCTTTCTAATTGTTGAATCATGAACTCTGACCTTAACTGAGGCAAGTGAGGCCTACAGTTCTCTTGATGACGATTTTTGTTTTCCTTTTTTTTGTTTTTAAGCCAGTTTGCCAAAAAAAAAAAAAGAGAGAGATTGCCAATATTTATATGGGCTTTTTTTGCCCATCCCCAGTGGCTCCCTGTGGCTTTGACTAAAACAAAAACAAAAACCCCTAGATATTATACTTAAAAATAAAAATAATAGTATTTACTTTACATTTTTTAAGACATTAAGCTGCTATATGTTTTGTTTATTTATTAAAGTATCATACTTCTAATTTGATTTCTTTGCACAAATACAAGTTGGATTGAAAGTGTGCCCTTAGATTTTTAGGTGGGCTCTTGAAACAGGGGGCTCCAGGTAGGTGGTGGTGCATATGGTACTAAGGTGTCAGAGATGTAGCTGGGAGGAAAAGCCCTAAAAGTTCCAGTATCAAAAAGCTAAAACAGGAGTGATGTGATCTCTGAGTTCTGCACAGCCTGCACTCGTTAAACATATTCTTTTGTTTTCTTTTTCTAAAGAAAAAAAAGGCTGTTAGCACAATTCAGACATGATAGATCTTCAAAGTAGATCTTATTTGTGAAATATATCCTAAGATGATAGAAAAACGATTTGAAGAATTTCACGGTGTAATAATTTTTTTCTCAGGCAGTAAAAGAAGTATATAGACTTTATATTTAAAGTAAAAGTCATATATGACTTTACTGCATTATAATGCAGTAGTAGCATAAATTTATTAGCATCAAAATACGCCTACATTAAATTACAGAGGAATTTGAACAGGGAAAATTCAATTTAGGGACAGACGATTGTTAGAGAATTGTGGATCAATATGGTTGTCATTGTGTAAGATGATTAGATCTTTAGCACCTTGTTTTCTACACACACACACACACACACACACTCACATTTCACTGATCACATCACATGCTCACAGACACATTCACTGTTGCAGATACACATGTTCTAAACTATTATAGAGCAAAACAGGGCCCGATGGCTTGGGGATAGAAGCTCCTCTTGAGTCTCTCTGTCCTTGCCCGGATGATGTGAAACTTTCTACCGGATTGCAGAAGTTGGAACAGTTTGTTGCCAGGGTGGGACCGGTCATTCAGTATCTGCGCTGCTCTAGTCCGCGGCAAGAGGGGGCCGGGCCAGAGTTGGAGTCGTCTGAGGTTGGGTGCAGAGCTTGTAGCTCTGAGATTCCGACTGGGCTCCTCTTGTCCAAGTTAAAACCAACTGATCTCTGTTTGTCTTGCTTTGTTCACGGGAATAAGTCTCTGAATCAGCAAGGCCTGCAAGCGCAGACCTAAAAACGATTATGGGATTATATGGAAAGTGTGTCACTCAAACAGTGTTATAATCTCTAGGTGAATACTTCTGGAGTCAGTGCACATGAAAGAAAATCATAGCAGGATGTTGTTTACTACAAATTACAAAATAGGATGTTTTGATACCCAAGGATAACTCTGTTTCCATGCTGTATAGTGTAAAATCAGGCACCTGCATGTATGTATAAGCCAATCTTAACACTAAGTGCCTGCAGTGTTTTCATGAGCATTGCAAGCAACAAGAAAGGAAACAACAAGCCGAACCAACAACCAGCTAATCTGCTGAAAGAGAAAGGGCAATTCTAATGAATATTAAACTGTCCGGGGCAGTACTGGAATCAACAGACAGAAAAGAATATGCATGGCACTGTGTTGGTTAAGAAACAGAAAAAAGTAGGCCTTAAAAAGTTTATTGGAATTTGGTGACCCTGAGAACTGGTCTGTCAATGAGAATTTTAATATATCTTGAAATGCTGATTTACTCAGAAAAAACTCCAGATTTCAGGATACTTGGTCAGTTAGTCAACTTTTGAGAGCTATATAACTCATAACCTTTGAGTTATGAAATTATATATCCTTATATAGTATATATTCTTTAAGTTACATTTAAGTTTTTAACTTACTGATGATGAAAAAGCTTTTTCTTCAGTGGCTTCCATAGAATGAAGAAGAAGAAGAAGAAGAAGAAGAAGAAGAAAACTATACAGTGCACATAAAAGAAGTTTCAGAAGCTTTTAGTAATGACTTTCACGTATTAACACATTCCTTACGTTCACACAAGAGATTATAATCAAAACAATGTCAGACAAGCAAAAACAAACAAAAACAAAACAAATGGGCGGGGGGAAAACTATGCGTGTGACTAATAAATCCAGAAGATGGCAGTAATATAGCGCCACCTCTGTGAGCTGTTTTAGAACGTCAAAGAAGAAGAAGAGGCGGAACACCTCTCAACACATTTCCGCCAATAACAAACCTGCTAGCTTGTAGCAACTTGAACTGTATTGTTTGTGCTTTTTCCCCCCCCAAGTGTCTGCAAAAAAATTGCTAGGCAGCGGTTGTTTGGAAGTTGGTTAATTAGAAGACGTGTTTCCTGGAATTACGCAAATGCTACCATTAACTGTTTAAACCGCCGGTCATAAACGTGAATCAGCAAATAAATGGTTGCGACTGGTGTTAGCTGACAGGCTAACGTGCTGCTCGGTGACATGCTCTTTTTAGCAGGTCGTTGGACGTTCGGATATTAATTAACATGTCCTGAAACGCGTCAGGATCATCGCGCTGCAGACGGAGAGGGGGTTTAACAGTCAGAGTGTGACCTAGAAAAATACAGATACCGGACCTTTTCAGACGATTCATGTTGTTTCCAGACCGGGAAGCGTTACCTTCCCAAGGTTTCCACCAGGTGAGTCAAAATAAATAGCTGTAAAACGGAGGTGGAAATTGACCCAACCTGAATATGAACAGTCATAGAGATTGGTTGTAGTAATATATAATCTATGCGTACTTGGTTTAGGTCATATGAGGTCATAAATGTATTCTTTCTAAGTTTAGCGCATAGGTTTATTTCACTCCAAAGACATCTGGGTTATTTTATCTAGGCTTCTTGGGATGTTTTAACCAGGTTTTGTTTATTAGAAAGCTTGAAGAAGTGTATGTCCCAATTTAGAGATCATTTCCTGTCTTGTGTCTAAATAAGATACAAGACAGGACAAAACATAACAAAACAACTACTTCTTCTTCTGGGTGCTCATCTTCCATCTCACCCCATTGCTGGCATTCACGTCTGTAACATCAACCCTTTGTATCGCTAATCCTGTCTATTTCTTTTCAATCTCACTTAAAATCTTAGCATCTTCAGTTCTGCCACCTCCAGCTTGGCCTTCTGTCTTTTTGTTAGAACCACCATCGTTGAAAAATACATCATAGCAAGTCTCAATACCTGTGAACCTATTCTTCTCACCCCTGATACTCCATCCACTCCACCCTGTCTGCACACTATTCTTCCTATTGCACTTTTAATTAAAGAAAAAAAAACAAGCAGGTTGTATTGGAAAGTGTTGGACTATGTAGAACCACAATAGAGGGGTGTGGCACACTGTCTAAATGTCAACTGTAGGTGTTTTATACTGCTGAGATGTGGTAGTTGCAAAAGCCATAGCATAATGTCCATGTTAAGGATAATAGTAGCCCCAGATCATGCCAGAAATAGACCCTTCTTGGGTTCTTCTAATCTCCTCACTGTAGGGGGTAGGTTCAGGTTGTTCCTTTAATGTGTCAGGGGCCTACATGTTTCCTAACAAAAATAAACAAACAACAAAATATATAGACAGCTAACATTCCTGTCTGGCTCTTTTTTTCTTATGGTTTATCTCACTCTGCAGATTTGCAAAATGAAGATGTTCTCTGTGGCACACAAGACTGTCTTCGTAGTGGATCACTGTCCCTACATGGCAGAGTCCAGTCGTCAGCAGGTGGAGTGTGATGTGCTGACAAAGAGCCGAGCTCAAGGGGTCATTCCTTTGGCCCCGGTGTCAAAGTCTCTGTGGACATGTGCTGTGGAGTGCTCCATGGAGTACTGCCGGATCCTTTATGATGTTTATCCAAAGGACAAACTGGTTAGTGTCTGTTTTTTATTGTTTGTCCATCTAAGTGATATAATTATGAGACTGGGCATGCTGGATGTCCACCTTTTGATGTCATCCGTGCCACTGACATTTTCTGCCTCTTTATTTTCCAGGTTAATTACATTGTGAGTGATTCAGAGTTTCACATACTGAATAGCTGGAGGAGGGAAGATCAGAGCACTCACGAGGTAATCCACTGCACATTTAAACGGAATAAGCTGCCTGAATTGAATTAGTTGCAGTATCTAACATCAACTTTGTCACAATTTAGAGACATTTCCTTTGAACTCAGTGTCTCCCATCTTTCGTCACAGCTCATGTCAGCTCTGGCAGCTGTTGGGCCACCAAACCCTCGCGAGGACCCGGAGTGCTGCAGCATC